TCTCTCTCTCTCTCTCTCTCTCTCTCTCTCTCTTCGGGTTTCTCAAGTTTGTTTGTTTTGTTTTCTTTTGTTTGTTTGTTTTTGAAGCGACCGGGCATTGGCTTGCCCGACCCCCGAAAGTCGCAGAGTGTTAACGGCTGCGACTTCTAAAAAACAACGGGGAGGTACTGGTGGTTTAACCGCCAGTACCTCCGAACCTCTTTTTTTCCAATGCACAATTTTGCCCCACCCTAAAATGCCAAGCCGTTGTGAGCGAAGGCCTCCTGGGTGCCCCCGGCCTTTTTGGTCGGGTAGGCTGGGTCTAGCCTTTCAATGGCACCCTGTTGACCTGCGCATTCTTGCCCTCTGGCCGGTAGCTGGACGGGACACTGGTGGTTTAAGTAGGCCAGTTTTGCAATGTACGCTTGGAAGTAGGAGCCGTTTAAACAACTTCAGGCCAGCCCCCAGCAATGGGACAGACGTAGAACAGGCCCCATCTGTCCTGCAGCCATGCTTCGTAAGCAATACCGGCCCAGCTCACCGGGCTTTGTTTTTTGTTAATTAAACTGATGCTTGTCAGGTTCACATTAAGTTTGCCCAAGCAAAGTGTAGGACCTGGCACATACTTAAGCCACCCCTGTTGATTGGTTGATTGATTGGTTGACTGGTTGGATGATAGATTGGGAGGTTGATTGACTGATTCAGTGGTTGGCTGGTTGTTTTCGTTTTTCGGTTGATTGGATGGAATGCATAAAATGCATAGGATACCGAAATGGCTAGAATGGATGAAAAAGATCAGATGACGGAATGGATCAAATCGATGTAATGGGTGGGATGGAACGGGAAGGGAAGGAATGGGATGAGTTTTACTTTGATCTGAATTTTTACATTGTGATTATTAATTGATTATATATTGACAACATAACTTTGACGCCTGCAGTAAGTCCAGCATCACCAAGAGTTTGCGTCATAACCAAATTGTGCAGGTGCCCAGACCCCCAAGTAAGTGAGCAGCTGAGCCCAGGGGCAGATAAGCAGGTAGGCAAGGTAGGCAGGTGGGTGGGTAGACGAGCAGCAGGTGGATGCATAGGTGGATGAAAAGGGATGAATGAACGAACGAGTTTGATGCGGTGTCTGACATACAGCAACTACTTGGTAGTTTTCTTTCGATCTTGTCTTTTGCTAACTCTTGTCAAGGTCCAAGTGAAGCCTTGCGGAGAGTCCACCGTTTTGATTTGCAGCAAAATCAGATCAACGGTTCAAGGCGGGTAAAACCTCCTCAAGGCATCAAAACAGGTAACCGGCCAACATCAGATATTAGAGATTCTGATGTCCATGTGAGATTTCACACAGATCTTAACCATCACTCGCATGTGAGATTACACACAAATCTTAACCAACACTCACATGTGAGATTACACACATATCTTAAACCACCAGTACATCCACGTTTTCGGGCCGTTAACGCGATCGGTGCCCCGCGCAGGTCCATATGCATTTGCCTCAGAGCCTCCCCAGAGGGGGCCTAAGACACCCTGGGGTACTGGTGGTTTAACCATCATTCACATGTGAGATTACACACCGATCTTAACCAACACTCGCATGTGAGATTACACACAGATCTTAACCATCACTCACCACAAGTTCGAACTCCACATAGGCATCAGCATACTGGTGACATGTTCCCTGGAAGAAGGACCACAGGCACATAGAAGCACCAAGCAGACACGGTCAGAAAGAATAACCAACGTACTACTACCCGTCTTCACTGGAACAGAACACCCTTGTGGACGACGTACCATTTTTTGTCTGGAATAGCGGAAGGGAAGATGATCGGGAAGCAACCTACATCATCAACCGTTTCCAATAGGCTTCTGATAAGGCACTATCCCTAGAATGAACAGATGAGGGAAAGGGGGAATGGGACTTTCTGGGAACAAAGATTAGGGTGGAAGCAGGGAAGAAAGTGACGACCCAGTTAGTCCAGAGAAATTTCAAGGAGACTTGGGAAGGGGGTATACTCACCTTCGAAAAGATCCAGGACTTCAACTCCTATTCATCAATTCCACAAAAGAAGGCGGTCATAACATGCAGCCTTCACCGTATATACCAGATGACATCTGATGTGGAATTAGTAGGGCTGGGTTTACTCACCTTAAAAAGACTCCTTCAATTACAAAACTACTCAGGGAGATATTTTGCAGACTGCCTGGCACTCGTGGTTAATGGGTGGTGCAAGGCTCAAGGCCTCCATACGCCCTACTGGGCCCTATTTTCAGTACAGTCGGCCACCCTAAGTGAAGGCAGGCTCGACCAAGGCCTACAGGCCCATTTTTGGGGTCACCATGCAACTGGGGAAATTCAGGCAGTTGTGCAGCGCCAGTTGGTTGAGAGTGCCCAGGCCCAGGCTTCCTTTTTTGTATGTAACTGAGGCAGGCCCTGGGCCAGATACGCAACATGGGCCGAACACACGCAGCGGGCAGTTGGGCACAGGAAACCACCACAGGCCCTGGGCCTGATTCGTTCGGACTGGGGCTCAGCCTCACGGGGCCTACTGGAAGCTTCTGGACCAAGGCCCAATGCAGGCAGGCTGCAAGCAGCAGGCAGGTCACTTCCATTTAGGAAAGTGCCTGCCCCAGCACTCCTCATTCGGTCACTGGCTGCATGCTGCGCTAACGCTGGCCAGCTCTCACGCGCTCACGGGCGAGCTGGAGGAGCAGTCAGCCATAGCCGAGCTGCGCTGCTGTATGCTGGATGGGGCGCATGGTGGTCCTTGGGTGCACGTGGCATCTGTGAGTAGGGGATCGAGGTTGTGAGTGATACGAGAGACGGACCTCGTGATTGAGGCGAACGGCATTGGCCGAGATCTTCTCGTACTTCGGGGAGCTGTTGACGTCACCAGCGGCATTGTAGATGGGCTAGATAGGATCTGCCATTTGTAGTCTGGGATGTCGACATTGGTTCTTTGTTGATGATGATGAGACTACTCCAACATTGTCACTTATGAGCTTTTGCTGTGCTCTTATTTGGTGAACTCCGAGTTGCAATTCTGCTTTTGGTTCGAGGTCACGACTATCTGGTCTCATGTGTATGATGCTGCTTGGTTTCTGAAGTTCGCTACCGCTCATTTTCCTTGCAATTTGGTATCGGAGCTGTGGTACGGTGCGCCAATCTGGCGCTTGTCTTCTGCCTATGCGGTACATGCATGTGGTCTGCTTGGTGAGCGGCCGTAGGGAGTGTGTAGTGAGGAGGGCGAAGGCAAGCAGGCAACCCAGGAGGTGAGGGGTATCGCCAGGAAGGCTACGTGGTTATTATTGGGTGTTCGCAGTGTGATGAGAACTATCTGATGTGCGATTGATGCTTAGGTGGAACGGCGGTGTAATGCTGGTTGTGCCGAAGCAGCGATTGGTCATCACAGTCGGCATCAGGTCATCTGGTGAGAATATCTGTGGTTGGGGCCAGCTATTTTGAGGTACGTTGCTCTTAACCTTATCTACCCTCTTCGACACTTCTTACCGTGAGGATGTGTGTTCTGTCTTGAGAGTCCTCTCATGTCAGGAGTCGACTGCGTTCAACCTTGAGAGTGGGCATTGTTCACGTAGAGCATCTGGAATGAGAGGGCGGAGCTATCTGAAGGGCCCTGGACGAAGCACTGGGTCACGGTCACCATGCCAACCCACCGGGAGTAGAGCACGCATGCTTTGCTGCTTTGTCCTTTGTCTGCCTGCTGCGCTGATAGATGGGTGATGAGGGGCAGGCCAGCCCTACTCGAGAGACGAGTACCGGGCGTCTATAAATAAGCATCGGCGGGGTACCTTCCATTGGCTGTGATCGTCATCCTCTCTGCTACGTTAAATAATTCCTGAGGACTTCGGGGGCCGTCCTAAAACGCCTCCTGATCAGCCAATCGGTCAGTGTAAGGCTCGGTGCACGCGAGGATAAAAATAGTGCAGGACTGGCCAGCTCAGCATACACTCGGGGCACAGGGGTGGGCCGTGTGCACACCTTTAGACACGCATGCTATCTGGATTGCTCAGGAACGCTGACGTCAAGTGACTTACACGAAGAACTGAGGAAGGGGTAGATTCCAGGTGATAAGTCCGGGCAAAATTCCATTCTGCAAACAGACCCAACAAATGATTCTATTTTTATTTTGATTAGTTAGATGTACAGCCATTAACATCTGACAGACAGCATAGGTAGAAACAGTTTCTGCTCAATTGCTTCTCTGTTTGCGGACTAGTCAAAGTAAAATAGTTTCGTTTGTTGGAATCTGGACTACCTGTTGGACCCAAATGTATAGACTCTGAAATAGCCACCGGTTAATTAATTTATTTATTTTTAAATTGGTCTGTGCATGACGCTGCGGTAGGCATCGAGTGAGTGACCTAGTGCAGACAGTGTGCAGTTGTGCCTTCTATTTTTGCTGTACATAGTGATTCTACTCTGCATGATGTGTCCACCTCGAATGCAACTACTTCTACCTCTGCTAAGTCCATCTCTAGTCTAAATGACTCTATTTCTAATCCTGTTGTTTTGGCTGCACCTATACAAATTGACATGCTTGCTCCTGAGAGTGATGATCCCCCTCCGGAAATCCCACCGGAAATTCGCAACCTTCTCAACCGATTTCCTGACGTCTTGGCCGAACCGCATGGAGTCCCCGTGCGTCCGGTCCGACACAGGGTCGAGTTGATTGAAGGTAGCACTCCTCCAAAGGGTTGTGTCTATCGAATGGGCTCAGGCGAATTGGAGGAGTTGCGAAGGCAGATTGATGAAATGATTGGGAAGGGATGGATCAAGTCGAGTGAGTCGGAGTTTGGTGCACCGGTGCTGTTTGTCCCTAAGAAAGGAGGTAAGTTGTGGATGTGCATTGACTATCGCGGGTTGAATCGGATCACGAGAAAGAATGCATATCCTTTGCCATGTATCGATGATTTGCTTGATGCTGCGGGTGGGTGCAAAGTCTTCAGCAAGATCGATCTCAAGTCTGGCTACCACCAGATCGAAGTCGATCCTGCGGACCAGCACAAAACCGCATTCAAAACTCGCGATGATTTGCTTGATGCTGCGAATGTCCGCGAGTTGCGTTCTTTTCTTGGTCTTGTGTCGTACTACCAAAAGTTTGTGCCTAAATTTTCTATCATCACTCGTCCATTGTCTAGACTAACAAGCAAGAATGTGTCCTACGCATGGAATGAAGAATGCACGACAGCCTTTGAAGCATTGAAAGAGGCTTTGGTGAGTCATCCGGTGCTCCACATTGCAGATCCCAAGCTTACATTCGTAGTAACTACGGATGCGAGTTTGTATGGGATTGGTGCAGTGCTGCAGCAAGATGATGGTGATGGTTTACATCCGCTAGAATACTACAGCAAACGCATGCCCAGCCACAAGGTAGCTGCCTCCACTTACATGAGAGAGCTCTATGCCTTGAGAGAGGCACTAGACCATTGGAAACACTACCTCTTGGGTCGCCATTTCAAAGTGTTCTCGGATCATGAGACTTTGAAGTGGATTCAAACACAGATAAACCCATCAACTACGCTGACCCGTTGGCTCCATGAGATTGATGTGTATGATTTTGAACTAAAACACAAGAAAGGCTGCTATAATCGTGTTGCTGATGCTTTGTCTCGCCACCCTGAGTACATGACTTGCCTAGTGGGTTCCTACGATCTTCGCAAGGACTTGCAGAAGGAACTCATTGAGCACACTGCCAAGGATCCGGAACTCAGTCCCATCCTTGAGCAGATTCGGGCTGACACTAGTAGTCAGCCTGATTTCCATGAATGTAAGGGCCTTCTCTTCCGACGCTACGGTCAGCGTGACCGGTTGTGTGTACCCAACCATAAGCCAATCATCACTCACTTCTTGGATTTGGCTCATGGCCGGAATGGACACTTCGGTGTTGAGAAGACATACGGGAATCTGTTGGAAAGGTTTGTGTGGCCTGGAATGAAAAGAATGGCACAAAGGTTTGTGGCTGAGTGTGAAGTTTGTGAGCACATTAAACCATCTCGGCAGAAGCCCTATGGCCTGCTGCACCCTCTTCCTATCCCTGATGGCCCGGGTGAGTCTGTTTCCATTGACTTCACGGACATGGGGAAGAAGAGCAGAAACGGTTATTCGCAAGTSATGGTGATCGTTGATCGGTTTTCGAAATTTCTAAATCTGATTCCCTTGCCACCTCACGCCCCAACTGACCTTGTGATCGATGAGTTCAACAAAAGGTACGTGCTACATTATGGCCCCCCGAAAACTCTCGTGAGTGATCGGGACACCAGGTTCATAAGCGCAGGCTGGAAAGATTTCACCTCCCAGACCTACGACATGAAACTCAAGATGACGTCTGGGCGACACCCCGAAGCCAATGGACTGGCTGAGGAAATCAACCAGACCGTGATCCAACTTCTCAGGGCTCTAATTGTACCTGATCAGAACTCTTGGGATGAGGAGTTGCTGATTGTGCAGGGGTTGTACAACAACTCCATCCACTCCTCCACCGGGATGACGCCGAACCGGCTACATCTTGGATGAAAAATCCGCAATCCTCTATCTTATCTGTTTCCTGATCAGCCACCTGGCCTAACACCTGGCCAGCCAGGCTACAGCGCCAAGTTCGATCGCCTACTCAAAGTTGCTGTCGCAGCTATGGAGAGGCGACGCAGTGCCATGATTAAACA